ACTTTACAAACAAAAACTTTTTACAGATTTATATGATGTTCTCAAATATTCTAAAGAAAAAGACAATTTGTTTGAGAGCCAGTAATTGTATCATTCAATTTATCCCTAAATCACGCAGGGACTCAGAAGCAGAAATTGTCACCAAGGTTTTACGTTCAGGGCAAGTTCCCGCCTCCAAGCCACACTATCCAAAAAGTCGGGAGAGACATTTTTAAATTATCTGTTGTATGATTTTTAGGGTGAGGATTCTTATACAAATTACCTTTTGCAAAGTATTGTCAGTGCTTATGGAATGCAAAATTTCAGATCTCTTATTTAGTTATTAGTGACCTGAATTCATAACATATAATACTGAAAAAAATTTTCAATCACATTTATAAGGAAATAAAATCTTTTACAAGAGAAAACTTACGAGTATGTTATCCTAGAACTATTAGTACATAATTACTTACTAACAGAAATATTTTTATCAACTGTGCCGTTTTTTATATACCCTCTTCTATACACATACATCCTTAAGCAGAACAGGTTTTATGTATTTATTATTTATTGCTACCCTCTGACAAAGGAGCGCTAAATTAAAATGCCACCCTGATGGCAAACACACGCTAATGACGTAAGGACTGCCACAGTGTAAATTCTCAGTGCAAGCAGCCCGACCCTCTGGGAAAGCATCTCTATCTAGTTCAACTGAGACTGAAAATGAGAGCACTGGGGGTTAGACGGGGGAGCCTGGCAACCTGAGGGCCCAGACAGAGCCTGACTGCACAAAGGCTGCCTGTTCATCCCATGCTACCTTCTGCATAGGGCACCTCCACGCCTGGATCTGGATTCACAGTAAGCCTCGGTACCAAATCTGTGCAAAAGATCTCAGGTCAAGGCGAGCTCTAAGGAGTGGTCTCCCTCTTACATCGTAAGTCACAGTACATATAGTTTTCAGGAGAAAGACGGGACTGTTATTAGACGTATTGCTGTTGTTGTTGAAAAGAAATCCCTTGAATTAAAGAATAAATTGTTTCTTCCTCAAAGAGAATGGCTAATTTGCATCAACAGGCATGTGATTAAAAAACAACACAATTAGGAAAATGAAGTAGCAGTTAGTTTTGAATCCTCAATTATAAATAAAAAGGATCTTACTATTACCTAAATAGGATAGTTAATGATAAAATTAAATCAAAGAAGAAACCCAGATAATTTTGCCATTGTATAAATCTCCAACATTTCTTAAAAAAAAAAAAAAGCTTTCTAGAAATTTCACATTCTTAAAATGAATGATCTGGTCTCATGAAACACATGCAAATAGTGCCCAGGAAGGAAAGAAGGCATTAGAGAGAGGTCATTTGTGTTATTTCATCTATTACCAAGCTGTAAAATCCCATTATGCTGCAAACTATGCTGCCAATGGAGAATCTGAAGATTCCCAAGGATGGACGAGAACTGAGTCAAAACTGAGCGTCATTCTGAATTATGGAAACCGAAACAGGTTGGATGACTAGATATTGTTACTGAATCTGTGATCTACAAACTCTGGCTTCAGTGACTCAGAGTTAATGCCTCCTGGCCTCTCCCCCGCCAAGGGCATGAAATTCTAGTTTAATTTTTCCAATCTTGTTATTTTTAAGCGGTTAGTGTTTGCTCTGCGTTGTTCAATATTCCATGATTGCTTTGAATGACCTTTTGCAAGCCACCTTGCCCGTTTACGGATGTTCTCTCTGCTACAGCCTGATCACTCTGTGCCATCAACTCATTTGTTTATTCAATAAATAGCATGTATCGAGTACCAAATATACGCCGGGCGCTGTTCTCAGCACTGGAGATCTAGCAGTCATTAAAATCCAAAAGCCCCACCCTTGCAGAGCTTTATGTGAGATCGTTAAGTGCTCTAGAGAAAAATAAAGCAGGGAAGACAGAGAGGTGCTATGTTAGGGGGAGGCTGCCAATTTTCATCACTTCTAACGCCTGACACTGTCAGATGTGCGTGCGGGGGAAAGAAAAAGGTTCAGGCTCTGGGGTCCAGCTCTTAGCCTCACACCAGGGACCTGTGATGTCCAGTGCGGCAGTCACGAGTGCATGTGGCAGATGAGGACTTGCCATTGGGCTGCACTGTAAGAGTGAAATACACACTGGATTTCCTGGACATTGTATGAAAAGACTAATGGGAAGTATCTCGTTAATAATTGTGTATACTGAATACATTTTGAAATGATAAAATTTTCGATATACTGGGTTAAATAAGCTGTCATTAAAATGAATGTTGCCTGGGGGCCGGCCGAGTGGCTCAGTTGGTTAAGAGCTCACTCAAGAGTTTGAGCTCTGAGCAACAGCAGTTCGAGTCCAGCCCGAGCTGAGCAGCCGCTTAGCTGCCAACAGGTAGCAGGATGGCTCAGCTAAATAAACAAAAAACAAATAAAATGAATGTTGCCTGTTTCTTTTCACCTCTTTAATATGACTGCCAGAAAATTTAAGTTACACGTAGGGCTTCTGTCGTATTTCTATGAGAGAGCACCATTCTAGGCTCCCTTTCAAATGCCCATGAATTTTAACCGAGCACAAATGTAACTATACGACCTTACATAGAAAGAGGCAGCGGAAGGCATAGGAAAAGAAGGCAGCTTCTGTGATCATGTAACAGGTAAATAGTAGGTTCTAATCTCCTACTAACTAGCTATGTGACCAGACCCCGGTTGGTAGCTAGTAACCTCTCTGCTTTCGTTTCCTGAAAAAGGGATAATCATAATAGTATTTATTGTAAAGGGCTGCTGTGAGGAATACATGTAAAGTGCTTAGACTAGGGCTCGACACATAAGGGTTTGTCCTTATTATTAAATAAACATCCTTATTTTTGGGAAAAAATGGCTCCACAGATATTAACCCTTGGCTTTTGTGATGGGGTTGAGACGTTGATCAGGAAACGCCATTGCTTTGAATCAGGCAGCCCTGGAGGCAGGACAGCCAGTGCAAGGAGCATGAAAAGGGCTCTGGGGTCTGAGAGATGTGGGTGCAGATCTCAGGTCTGCTGGGTTTTAACAGCAACAGCACAACCTGTGCAAGTTACTAACTTCTCCTGGAGTCGCACTAACTTCTTTTGTTAATATATCTACTTTGTAGAGTTGTTTAGGGAACTACTGGAGCAGTGTACATACAAACCCTTGGGGCAATAGGCCATCAACAGTAGATGACAAAATTATGACACAGCTTGGGCAGAATTTTATTCTTCTCTACGTGTTACAAACTAACCAAGGATAATGATGATGACGCTCGGGAGGGCACTGTCTGAAAGTGTTATCAAGCATTTGCGCTCTTACACATGCAATTGATATTATCGTTTTCCCTCACTTTTAAAAGCACCCCCCCCAAACATTTACTAAATAACCCTTTTAACTTGTAACTAAATGCAACTAAAGGGATATAACTGCATTTCTTAAAAACCTCTCTTTTGCTACTTCAGAACAGTCTTCAGCTGAGATTAGCTTTTCCTTCGATCCACTTAAATTACTGAGACTACACGGATTTTTTTCTTTTCTATGCAAGCATTTCATTTTGAAAAGAGATTTTTCCTAGAGTAACCAGGCTGAACAGTTGAGCAGTGGTAAAAATGTTCAATATGCGTGGAGGGAAGGCTTCCATCTGGTGGACGTGAGGCACAAGGGGGACAGCGAGTGTCTTCCCCCGCCTGCAGGAAGGTGCAATGTGACCCCTTGCTATTTCACAGGGGAGGGAGGGGAGCCCCTGTGGGCTGGGGATCAGGACACCTGACTAGTCCCAGCTGGCCGACTTATTTACTCTGTGGCAGTGGGAAAGCCACGAACAACACTGGGCGTCTTGAAGGTAGACCACTAAATAAAACCTATGTTCACAACAGAATTGTTGTGGGGGATAAAATGCCAGAAGAGGTTTCAAAAACGTCCGTCAAAGAGTGTGGGCTGCTGCTGTCACAATAGGCTGTCTTAAAGCGCTGGCAGTGTCCTATTTTTTAATAATTCATTTTTTTCTAAAGAGTACGTTAACTATCGTGGTAGATATGTTCTTTCCCCTTTTCCTGGCTCTGAGCGTTGTGTTTCTGACTCCTTCTGGGGTCAAATACTGGAAACGAATGGGAAAGCATAGGTAAGAAAAAGAAATAAAGCCCTTCATAGATTTCAGTTAAGAACAACCCAAGCAAACTTGTCTATAACACTGCATGCAAAACTGGACTAAGATAAGCAAACCAGGACTAGAAAGGTTCATCACTTGTTTCTGGCTCCATTGTTTCAGATGCAACTCACTACCCTCTGTCTGTCTCTCTCCAAAGTACTAAGTACCTGCTCTGTGTCAGTGGCATAGACCTGGGTGTTGGGGGCACAACAGTGACCTGAGAATACAAGCCCAGTGAAGAGCCTGCCTGCAGGGAGCTGAAGAGATAGATTGGATGAACAGATAACGGCCTATGTTATTAAAATAATTACAACTGGGATAATGGACACTAGAAAAAAGTAACAAAACCTTTTAAAATCCAGAGACCCAGAGAACCCTTTCCTTGCAAGTCCTTGAAATGGGATTTCAATCACCTCTGCTTGTTCCTATGATCAACAACTTTCAAAGTTAAGAGCTGCTTATTTTTTTCTTTATTGGCATTTATGCTTTTTCACTTTCATGTGATTTTTCAGGAGTGATAAAGGAAAGACGGTCCTCTTTTCTAGTTGTAAGAGCCCTTCAGATTCCGGCGACAGCTTCCAAATAAGATTAGAGCCCATGCTTAAAACATAATGCATAACATTAATACAACCTCAGGTGTTTTGCCTTGGATTCCTATCAAAAAACATTGCCGAACTTTAGAGATAAATGGCCTATATTTTCCCGACACAGAATTAGTAATATTTCTGATAAAATCAAAGTATTTTCACTGTCTTAGTCGAAGTGATCTACTAGGAGCCCTGGAAAGGAAAGAGCTATTCATAATATCAAAACACAACACCACCACATTGGAAATCACGGCACATGCATGCACGCACATCAATTACCTGCTTCCTTTTCTGCTGAGCCTAAAACATAAGAAAAGAGAATTTAGGAGAAAAGCAAATGCCGTGCATATTGCTCACATAACATAGAAGGCCAACCCAGCTAAGAAAAGGAGTCCACTTCCTATTTTTAACTTAAATTTGACTTTGTTTGTGATCCGATCCTGAGCATAAACCAAAAGCTCTTTATTTTTTAAGATACAAAAAAGCGAAGGAAAGGAGATAATAAAGAGCGTAGAAGTTTTTTCTCATCTAATAAGCAAGCATTTTGTTATTTTGAAGGGAGGCTGCTCAGTCGCCCTATCCAACTACATCTCTAGGATCCATTTTCTAGAATGTTCTCACCCTAGAGATAAGAGAGGGTAACTCCAGAAAGGGGCAAGGTGGACAGTTTCCTGCTCACTGACCACTGGGCCCTAACACAGCTTGTTTATGTGATTAGAGGAGTAACTATGTCTCTCAGATCACCAGTGTTGCCCTGTTTGTCTAACTGATTAATGAAAGAAGTCCACGTTTGTGTACAAATCAAAAAAGGGTCTTCATTTGGACATAATTAAAATGTACTCCATGACTAAAAAAGAAACACAGAGATAAACGAGTATACTGCGTATTTTTTCAGTAGTCTTGGAGAAGGTGATGGTCAAATAGATGGTTAGGAACAAAAGGATTCTCAGTTTTCTTGAATAAGGTTCATTTTATTTGGATCAAATGATATTGTGTTTATTAAGGTTGTCTGCATTTTTCTCTTTGCCAGATTTGAAAGGTTTGAATATGTCTATTTTTATATCAATTCTTTCAATCAGTGTTCATAACACCCACTAGTCCCAAAATATGAAAACTGTTTGAATGAGTATTCAAAATGTGAAAAACATTCTGTTTATCTTCCACTTTCCCCCAAATGATCTAATATTCATTGCTTGTGCTTTAACACAACATGATATTATAATTAATAATGTTAAACTGGTAACTAAGGAGGTTTCATGTTGTTACTCTCGTGATATAATATTGGTTGCTATAGTGATGGGATGGCTTTTTTGTTAATCACTCAGGAGGTTGGTTATCGCATGCTTGTTAGAAAGCTTGATCATATTTGGAGAGAAAAAAGCATATAACACAGCCAATTATGCTAATCTTCTTCATTGTCCCAATTTTGATGAAACTATCATAATATCAACTAATTAGTATATTTATAATTCATTATGTACAATTTTATATTAAAAGTTACTAAAAAATTTTCTAATGATTTACTTTTTATTTTTATAAATATTTAACATTGCAAACTCTTTTCCTCCCTAAGTTAATGCTACATGTGTTACACAAGCTAGTTTTACAATTAAAGAATTTCTATTACTTTTATCAATCAAAGGACTATTGAATAAAAGCTGATTGTATGACTTTGCCACAAATTTCAATCTACTTATTTCTAAACATCTTAAATCTCAATACCTTAATGAAAAAAACCTGAAGAAAGAGAAAAAAAATGCACAGTCCTCTCAAGAGATCTAATCTTCCAAATGCATCAATATATTGCAAGCAATTAAAAGTTGCAGGGAATTCTATCAGTTTATTTCAGCTCTCATGATAATCAACAAGTTTCCTCCTTCTCTGAGTAACAATGCAGAATAAAAAATAAAATTATGTAATACTACACTGTTACTGATCAGAAAAGAATACACTGTCCATAGTTTAAATGTTAAACATACTTACAGTAATGCCAAAAAACACAACCCATGAAAACACCTTTTGGTTTCTTGAAAACTCAAAATAAGAACAAAGGACAACTTAAGCCCGAATCCTGGGTCTTTCATTCAAGCAGAGTCCCAGGAGGCATATTAAAGCAATGAATAGGAAAAAGCTCTTCGGTTCACCAGCTGAGATTTTAATGAGACATTTCCCTTTGCCTTGGTACAGGTTTGTTCAGGAAAGAGAAGGAGTTCGCACAGACAATTCAGTTAATAGGCATTGTTGGCTCTCACGGCCACTTTGGCAATTGCTCACCGCACTGACCTTCTATTTTGGCATATTCTGTGAGTCTTGTGTAATTGATCAAGGCAGCTTTCTCCAGACATTTTCTGACCACTTTTTTCACCTCTTCTGCTGGTATGGGAGTAGCAATATCTTTCATTAAAACCTAGAGAGCGAGGGGGAGGGGGGAAGTGAGAGGAAGAGAGAGAGAGAGAGAGAGAGAGAGAGAGAGAGAGAGAGA